AAACCAAACTCTGGCTCAGATAGAAAACATTTACTTACGCTCCAGCAGCACGGAGCCTCACGGTGATTTATGAGCGACCCGGAATCGCCTTAAGTGGCCCCTGCTGCCTCCGACCGACAAAGAACGGTGGAACCAGCGGTACGGGAGTGTGTATATAGGTGAGCGCACTGCATTACAAACCCGGAGAACCGCGTGGTTATTCGCAGCTGTGTATTAACCATACAACTATAAGGATGCGCAGTCTGCTTCACTCACAGCGAGATTGATGATTCCGTGATTCGCGAGAGCTGACCACTGTGTACCACCGGCTTCATGGTCCAAATTTGCTCAAATGAAAAATAATCTGCATATTGTAATCTACACAGCAACCACCAACCCGAACTGAAAAAAACAACAACTTGGCAGGACCCTTTCAGAAACAAGAGTCATGAGACTCAGTGAACAAGCAGAGTAATAATGATGATGATAATAATCTGTACACCGGTACGAGTGTACGCCTTTGGTAGCCAAGCCGGCTACACGCTATCACTTCAACAGGGCGCGCGCGCGCGACATCAACGGCGAATTATACTGCGCTTTAGCCCTTAACCCAGGAGGCAGCCGTTTTCCAGGAGAGAGGCATCGTTTCTCGATGGGCTCTCACCTGGCTCCGCGTATAAACCTGATTGATGTCAGTCCCGACTCTCAACGCTCAACCGCAACAACAGGAAACGCACTGCAGCTGGTGCAGTGCCTTGACGCTCGCTTTACAAACCAAAATTATCATCGCGCTCCCACAAGGACGTTTCTGCCTCGAGGACGCGGAATTAATCAGGTCCTGTACAGTACATAAAATGAGTACAACAGCAGCGGTTGTGCCATCAATCGATTGACTAGCTGTTCCCCTGTATGATCACGCCCCAAATGACGTCTCCCCCTTTTATGTCGTTTCGCAAATACGTCCTCACTTTATTATCAACACCGCGACCCGATTTGCGTCGCCTCAACCCCACACTCACGTCGCTGACAGCATCGTCCGTCCTTGCTCGTGTCCGTCGCCTCAGCCTTCGCCTCCACCTACCCCGTCAATCACTTTTATTTACGTCGGCACGATATTCGTTGCACGCTTCAGCACCTAAACCGGGGTATTGCTGTACTTGTTTAAACTCACGTCTCTCTAATATATGTGTGTACAACTTACCCCCATCACAGGCAGGTGGAATTTCAAAAACTGGTGAGTTCATTTGGCCCGGTGGGTGAGAAAGGAAACCAATTGCATTCCAAGTATGCACATGTACAGCCCCGTCTCAATCCACTGCTGGATGAGGGTCTTCCCATGCCACATTCGTCATGAAGGTTGTATGACCATACACTGATCAGCATGGGTTGGTGGAGGCCGAGGATCAGTTCAGATATCACTCGATACAGATGTGAGCCACGGCTGGGTACATAGAACAACTGCACAACCATTCTCCCACATGCCTAATCTATATATAAAAGGGAAATTTGTGAATATGTGTGTCTGTTCCAAATGTTTAGCATACTTCCCAACATGCAACAAACTTGAAATGTGGCATGTGGGCAGCTTCCAGATTGTACACTACATAATGCAAAAAGTATAAAAATAGACTTTTGTATTGGGGGGGGGGGGGGCGCAATAATGGATATATTTTGCACGGCAGGTGAGCGATGACGTCACATCTGCGATGTCACCCGGCAGTGTCACGCAGTGTGCCTGCTGACGTCACGCATCCCCCCCCCACCCTCAGCGTAGGCCGTGTATTTATCCAAGACAAGATTCCAAGTCTCGGGCGAAGCCGGGTAGTAAAGCTAGTACGAAATAGACTAAAAAGACTATAATTCGTGGTACTTTGACAACACTCACATTTGTTTTCATGTAAAACAACATTTTGGCCAAGAATTCAAAGCATTTGAAGCTTTCGGATTCATGGGGTCACTGGGCTGAGTGAGAGCAGTGAGCGGAAGGAAGTGTTGAGTGTTAGAGTGAGCTGGGAGTGGTAAGCAATCACCAGCTCAATGTGCATCGAAGAGCAGTGGGCGCCCCCATCACTCTCACCACGGCGCCGACAAACACTGACCCCTCACGCACAAGTGGAGCGAACGAGAGAGGTGGAGAAGACGCAAAACAGGAAGAGGGAGCGGGGAGGTAGCGGTCGATTCAGCGACAGGCAAGGGAGAAGCAGGCTGGGCGCGAGCAAACAGAACACGGGGTAGAGGCGACGGAGTGGGTGCTGGTCACTTCCTGCTGCAAGGGTGTGGGGGGCGACCTGCGGCGCGTGCAAGCACCAGCGAGCCACCGAGAAATCATCCAGCGCCAGCCTGGGAACGGTGTCTGCGCGGGGTGAACGGGGCATGCCACCCGGCGCTCGCCAATTCATCAACGTTAAAGCGACGCGATCCGGCGGTGGGCCGGCGCCAAGTTGCCGCGGTGGCGGCGGCACTAGCCACGCAGCCGGGGCTCTTGTGACGACGGTGGAGAAGGGGCGACGGAGCTGCATGCGCCACTGCCATCCATCACAGCCAAAACACTCTCCATTCGTTATGCATAATTTACACTGACAAGCCATCAATCTACACCCTCCTCTGGCTTTTTTTGGGGGGAAGTCAGTGGGAGTAGAGGGTGGAGGGGGTAATTACATGTTTTGAGATGAAATCCATGTAATGCCGCTTGTAGTGAAATATATTTATTTCACGAGCGTTTACTGCCGAGCTTGCAAATTGAGCCGTGGTGCGGTATCCGTACAGATTAAGGAGCCGGTAAAAGTGTATTACCCCTGACTGGCAAACAAGAGGCTCCCGAACACCTCACGCACGCACGCCCGCACGCACGCACGCACGCACACACGCCGTGTCAGCTCATGCAATACGCTGGCTTTCTGATTCACACAAATAAATACCGATATAAACGCACATGCCCGCAAAAAGAGCCATCGCTCTTCGTAACAGATAAATCTGCGCTGTTCATTCAGGGGCGTGAATTAGGCATCGAATCGAGGATCGGCCCTCAATTGATAAAAATTCGAAATGACCGAGCTGAAATAAAATAAAAGGGAGGAAGTTGATAAACGATAGCAACTTTTTATGGAGATAAATTAATTAATAAACCCTCGCCAAGCGATAATTATCCACTTAGTGAGGGGAATGAAAAATAAACCGTAACTCCAGGACGTGACATGGGGGCGCGCGTTTGCTCGCTTCCTGTGCCCCTAATGGGCGGTGTGGAATATTGCCCGGGCATAAAATATACATTACAAAGTCAAACAGAATTGGCCCGGTGATACGGTGAGCTGGGCTCCCTGGTGGCAGCTGCGATGGAGGGGGATGATCTATTAGCACCGAGCCGGGAGCGGCCGGGCCATGCGAGAATGTCGGCACAGGGTGGCGGCAGCGGTGTTGGTGTATTAAAACTCACCGTGCTTATCAACTCACTCATAATGTAAATTGCAAACATTTTTTTTTTACAAAAACACTTTAAGCTTCCTGCCTGAGCCTTCGATAATGCCGGAACGGTGCTTTCTCGACACGCCCGCGAACGCCTATTTAAGAGGGTTTAATTTAAAACGTGCCTTGCTTATTTACGCAGAGGCGCCGAGTAACAAGTGCAATTACGGCATGCAAATACCACGGGCGCAGGGCAACCTTTACAGGCGGTGGAACTGATCAACGGACAAAGACGAACGCCACTCGCACCTCAACGCACGCACGCACGTGTGGGCGCGCGTGCGCCCGCATTTCGATACGAAGCGAAACACATTCCAGAGTACTGTGCTTTCGTCGCATTGTTATAGTGTGTTGGTGCCACTGCAATGCATTGTATAGTGTTGTAGTTATGGAAGTGCATTGCAGTGCAGCGTAGAGCATAGCGGCGTATTTATGTAATTCAGTGCAACAAAGTGTTTCAGCTATTACACCGCATTGCAGGGCATTGCAGAGTGTTGCAGTGTATTGAATTGTGACAGTTTTGTAACGAATGTAAATGTTAGTGTCCACTCAGCCCAACATTCATCCAACAGATGTCAAATAGAACCCATATCCCATCACACGTTCTTTCCCACCTCTTCCCAGTCGGACACATACAAATCTCAACAGGCTCTCTAATTAATTTGAATATGTAATTTCACAATGCCATATGATTGATGGGAACAATAATACTGCCCATAATGGCACTCATTTATCCAGGAAGGCATCTATGGCTGGTGACGTTGCCTCGCGTTCGACGCTTGTTGCCGATGGTCACGATTCGAACCCAGCGGCCACTCCGATTAACACTGCGGGTGTGATAACAACGCCACTCTCCATCCGCTTCACAGCCGACTTTAAAGATCCCTGCGACATAATTCGCAAGATTGGGCTATCGTGTGCCGGCGTCAAAAGTCCAAATTTGCCAAATTAGAAAATTGCAGGCAAATTATCCAATTGGGATCTCACACACACACACAGCGGCGATCATCACCTCCTGCTGGCAGACTAACGCCCCAGGTCGCCCTTGCAAGTGAGAAGTGTCCTGGTTCTCATCTGATTTTATGGCAAACCCTCTGCCACCCACCAAGTGGTTCCGCAACCTATAACAGCCTGCCATGCATGGTGGTCGCACATCCACGCACCGAGGGGTTTAACATGCCGGATGGGATGACACTTAAGATCCACACATATGGGTTCACAAATACACTGCTATCTTGCATGCAAACTGTTTTCCACCGCCAAACTGCAGGTCACAACAGCACTTCTATTTTGCTTCTTTCGTCTCACTGCGCCACTGTGGAAGTCAGTCCCATCGTCTCTATTTACAACTTAGAAAGTGCTGTTTGTTACTGGCTACTTTGTGAATTGGGCCTGTACTAAGTAACTGTTTTTAATATTTTATATACATATAAAAAACATCTCCAAGCAGGTTTGGGAGTTTCGCAAGTCGTTATGCGCTCCACCAACCCGCTTTGCCTTCGAAGTGTCACAGGTGTGGTGGTGCGAGTTGCGCCAGCTTCTCCAGGCCTCCGACTCACCCTGCAGGGCGCCGCTCTTGATGTACAGCGCCTGCCGCTGCTCGCGCAGGTAGGTGCTCATGCTGATGGCGTGGGACGACGACTCGAACCTGCCGGCGTGGAGGGGAGAGGGCAGATGGGGCGCGCACGGTGGCGCTGCTGAACACGGCGGTGGGTGGCAAGCACGCACGGCAAGGGCGAAAGCCAATGGAACGGGTCGTGGTCAGCTGTCACCACTCGTCGTCGTGATCGTCAGCACCATGGTCGTCGTCATCGGGTCATTCTATCCATAGGACAACCACCGTTGATTTCACCACAGAGCAATGCTAATTTTATCGACCCCGGAGGGATGCACGGCTGCCAATCACTAACTAGGAATTGGACTCCGATCGCGAGCTGCTCACTCTGCCGCCGAGCCATCCCGGCTGGATGGGGCGGGCAAATAAAAAAGATGACACAAGCAAACGCAACGGCTGACGATAGGTGCCAACGGGGCCGGGGGGGGTGCTCCAACATCACTACCCTTCATCGTCATTATCGGCATCACCATCACCGGTCCGCGAGCATCGTATAACAAATTTGCGAGTCGAAACAACGGCAGGGGCCCACAACACTGGGCCCCGCGTGACAAATGGTGCGAGAGTGCGATTAACGTCGCTGCAGTGCGCGCCGCGCGGAGTCTCACCCATGCCCACGCGTCGCTCGCTCGCTGCATGTGCAAGCCCACACACAGTCGCGTTAAAATTAAAATAAGGTGCATGCCTAAACACAAAAGTATCTTGCCTTGAAGCAAAATACCTACGGTGCGCGCGTTTCACTTGTCCGATACGTACGTTTGAAGATACGCTGTATGAGAAAAAAAAGACCTTAAAGTTAGAGTCAGGTGGTCTCTGACTGCAGTGATGTCACATTAAACAGTACAGGAGCGATGATGCAGTATTATTATCACTACGCTTGTTTGCCCTGGAAAACCTCACTGAGTCTCAAGACTCTTTATTAGGAGGGTCCTGCCAAGATGTTGTGGCTATGTGTAATCCCAATTTAGTAGATGGCAGGTATTTTTTCAACAATGGGATGTTTGGCTGATAGCAATTAAATTGTGTTTATTTTGTTCAACAATATCACCAAAGTGCAATCGGGAAGCATCTGACATTTTAATGAATGAACCTTTAAACGCTTGCATGACAGCCCAACACACAGCCCAGGTGTGTAACTGCAAGATAAGAACACCCATTAATTGGCTGAAGACATATCTATATATAGAGGACTGTAGAGCTTGGGCAATTATTGGCAGAGGCTCAGCGCCTTCTCACTTGCCCATAGTTTCTCAGCGATAGGTAGATGGAAATTGCATGAATAACACCGACTTGATATAAACCTAAACATCGTCTTTCGCTTTTTTGGCCTGCAACTTTCTTTAAAAGATAAGTCATCTGTCCAGCCGAAGACAAATAAAAAGCTGTCAAGAGAGAGGTGTGGCATGTTTAGGATTACACTGATAGACAGGCAGATAAATTCACGACTCAGAGAACATATGCAAATTCCAGGCATCATATTGACTGATGAATAACAAAATAAATGGGCTTGGGCAGGAAAAGTCGTGAGAAGAGCCGGGTAGGGCTTGTTGCATTGCAAATCGGTGAGAGATGGCGACTGGTCTTGGAAAGGGCTTCATCCAGCGGTGGAGAGAGCAAGGTATATGGTGATAACGTTGATTTGCCTCTGGCTTCACAGGACACCCAGGTGGCAATGCAGCTTTTATCTGGAATTAAATGGTGGGGGCTGAGATGCGTTGCACTTTTTCCCCGCACGGAGGTGTTTACATGTCGAAATAATTATGCGTTACCGCGCGAGAAAGAGAGATATTCCCCCGTAAAATATCACGGACACATCCTCCGCCATCACTCACTGTCCCTTATACCGCTTCAAATTTAATAACGCTCCAGATTAAATGCTTTATTTTCCATAACACGCACTCCCGATTCCAAGTGGCGGCGGCGTCCATTTCAAAGACAAATCGATGGACTGGCAGGCACAAATTGAAACAATTTCACAGGACAGACAATTTGCAAAAGGAAATGCTTGCGCGCGGCCACAACAATCTGCCGCTGAATTAAAAGGCTTTACAAAAAAAAAGGCAAGGTGCCGCTGACACCACCTCCGCAGGCTCTGCATTGATTCCTGACATTTTTATTTTCTCCGAATCGCTCGTCCACTCTGTTGCTGGTGGCGGCACCGAAAGAAAAATCGTTTCATCCTAAACATAAAAAAATATATAAAATCATATCCTTCCTCCTAAGATATCAGGGTTTGTCGTTTCCCAAATCAGCCAACTGTTTTTTTTTTGTTAAAACAAATATTTCCAAAGCCAAGAATAAGACACGGAGGGAGGGACCTTTACCGTTGCTGCGGCAACAACGTCCATTGACCGAAGACGAGTATCGTTTTGACAACTGTCAACTGTCAAGTCGCTCCGTGTTTTTTTGAGAACCGTCGCTGCGGAACGCGTTGCTGTGATATTTTTTATTGTGGTGTTGTGTACGATGGAAATGCATGGCATATTGTTGTATTCGTCATCTGTGATTAATAAGGCTGCTTCCTGTCCGTAAAATGGTGCCGTTACGCCACAGTTCAGCTGCTGCGTTGCGTGCGCTCCACTCAAGCGTGAGAGTCATGGCTGAGGCAGGGGTGGCAACAATGGCGATGATGGTTGCGATCCTGTGTTGTGTAACATTCTTGTGGTGATGGTTATTGGAGTGTTGTGATGACGGTTGTGAAGATGTATACGCCGAGTGTTGCGTTGACGGTTGTGATGATCCATAATTGAGGTTTTTGATGATGATGGTGGAGTTGAGTGCTGTGATGGTGGTGATGTGCGCTATGTTAAGTATTGTCAAGATGGTGATGGCAGCGACGGATGCACTGTGATGATGTTGAGACCAGACAGTTGTGACGATGTTGGCGATGGGGATAAGTGCTGCCATAATGGCTGTTAAGTGTTGCCATGACGACTGCGATAGCTGCGATAATAGTAGTGATGGCGATGATTGTTGTGATGATAGTAGCAACGGGGATGACTGTTGCGATGATCGCAGTGACGGCGATGATCGATAAGACGATCGTGGCGATGGCAGCGAGTGTTAGCGATGATGGTTTTCGATGCGGTGCCGGTCTCACTTGAACAGCGATGGCCGCTGTCGTTGCTGCTTCTTCTTCACGAAGAACGAGGAGAAGTCTCCACCAGAACTGGGGTAGGGGAGCTGGGCCGAGGGCTCTGCTCCGGCAGCTCGAGTGTTCTTCACATCCAGGTAATCCGTGAGCAACATCTGCGAAGGAGCCATCGTCAAATCACTATCACCACGAAAAGCAACCGATGATATATTGCCACCACCGACACGTGCACAATCTTCACCAACTCCACCATCGACGTCACGATCACCAGTGCTTACATTATCACGACAACCATCTTCATGATCAACAATCGTAAACAATGCACACACGATCTGCGTTCAAGCAACCATCTAAATATCGCTGCAACCATCACTGCTATGGGAGTCGCCACTGGAATCATCATAATCATAAGCAACATTATCACTCTGCACGATCTATGTCACCGTCACTGTCGCAACAATTTACATTCCAGCAATTACCGTCACCATCATCCACAATCGCCCATATTATCATCACTCCAGGAATAAACAACATCATCATCACTAACACAGCCACAGCTGTCTCTTTCACCATCGTCATCACGAACGCCTGCATTATCACCACCATCTCCCCAAACCATCAATATCGCCATAACCACCACCCTGACAGCCGCAAACATCACTTTCGCCATTATCACCACCGCCAGCAGCACCGTCAATATCACCGCCAACACGGATATCACCGCCGCCATCATCATCAATCACCATCCTTAGTCATCCGTAATCACCACTCTCATCACAGCAGCGCCATCGATTACACCAGCCCGGCCCAGCAGACGGCTTCGGGAGCCAGCGTTTCCACTGGGTGGAGCGGAGAGACCGCGGCGCGGCGATGCAGCTGGGAGGCGATTGCGGTTGTGCGCCTTCTCCTCCGCTTCCCCGCCCCGCGCGGGTTATCTGTCGCCCTGACGTGCACGTGCGCCGATACTCTATCGGGCAGGATAGCCAGAACACGGCCGCGCGCGTCGCCGGAGCAAGCGCCGGCATGTTTTTTTGCCTTTTTTTTGGCCTCTTCTCTCTGTCCGTTAGATTGGCTCGGACAATCCATCAACCTCGGCGGGAAACGAAAACGAGCGTCCGTCTCGTCGCGTCGTCACGTCTATTGACGCGCGGAGATAAGAGCGGCGCAGCAAAACTCCGCTTGCTCCAAAGGAGCCGGCTCCGGTCTCCGGCTGAGAATCAGGAGCGGCCGAGGTGGCTGGATGGCTCCGAGGTCAGAGACGCCGAGTTGGAAGCGCTGACAACCTGGGTTCGAATCCAGTTTTCAGCCCATTGTGATTAACTGTGGTTCTCAAGTGGAAATAATTCGTCTCAGCCCAGTCACCAATCACCGTACAACAAAAACGCATGAAGTTACGTTTGTTTGCCACTTAATTTGGGCAAAAACCAGCTCTGAAATTTAAAATATTGCTTTGACTGAACATTATTCAAACATCCAAAGCGGGTGGAAAAGTGCTGCTCCCTAATGCATGGAACAAGAGTCACCTGAAGGGATCTCATAGATAGCTCTGTGACATATGCTTCCACGGACCGTTCTCCGTCACAAATGGTTCCAATCCTCCGCGGGAGTTACGGACGCTTCTGCGTATTTTGACACGACGTTGAAAATACAACAACAAAGTGATCAAATAAGGTCAGGAGGTGTCACAGACACAAACCCTCACTCTGCCGCATCTCTCTGCCATCTCACACGCCGATCTCCTGCACCCGATCGTACTCCAGCGAGTGTCAGGCTTTCTGATCCGCGTCCCTTATTTATCTGAATGAGACCCAATGGGGGTTCATTACGTCTACTGTAGGAACACATGTTCAATAATCAATCAATCTTTATTTTACGTGCCAATATCGCCGTCAACAAAGTAGGCATCAGTCCACATTACAGCAGAACGGGAACGCTACAGGGGGCATAGAGCAACAGGAATAAAAAAATAAATTAAGCCGTCATGACCTCAGCGGCTAACACAGAGTGAGCAAAATTAAATGCAACCGCGCACAAAATATAGTGCAACATATTCATTTCTGTGAGCACTTTAACTTGGCTACGAAGCTGACACGCGGTAGACGACAACTCAAAACAGTGGCCCACTCTAAAATGCAAGACACTGGAACGTTGGAGGGTTCTTCAACCACGTTCCGGCTGGCCACATAATAACATTGTCGTGTGCTGGCGGCCACGTGGCATCACATGGTGTCGTGATGTACAGGGAGGGAAAAAGTATTTGATCCCCTGCTGATTTTGTACGTTTGCCCACTGACAAAGAAATGATCAGTCTATAAATCAGATTCCAAACTCTCCACCATGGCAAAGACCAAAGAGCTCTCCAAGGATGTCAGGGACAAGATTGTAGACCTACACAAGGCTGGAATGGGCTACAAGACCATTGCCAAGCAGCTTGGTGAGAAGGTGACAACAGTTGGTGCAATTATTCGCAAATGGAAGAAACACAAAATAACTGTCAATCTCCCTCGGCCTGGGGCTCCATGCAAGATCTCACCTCGTGGAGTTGCAATGATCATGAGAACGGTGAGGAATCAGCCCAGAACTACACGGGAGGATCTTGTCAATGATCTCAAGGCAGCTGGGACCATAGTCACCAAGAAAACAATTGGTAACACTACGCCGTGAAGGACTGAAATCCTGCAGCGCCCACAAGGTCCCCCTGCTCAAGAAAGCACATATACATGCCCGTCTGAAGTTTGCCAATGAACATCTGAATGATTCAGAGGACAACTGGGTGAAAGTGTTGTGGTCAGATGAGGCCAAAATGGAGCTCTTTGGCATCAACTCAACTCGCCGTGTTTGGAGGAGGAGGAATGCTGCCTATGACCCCAAGAACACCATCCCCACCGTCAAACATGGAGGTGGAAACATTATGCTTTGGGGGTGTTTTTTCTGCTAAGGGGACAGGACAACTTCACCGCATCAAAGGGACGATGGACGGGGCCATGTACCGTCAAATCTTCGGTGAGAACCTCCTTCCCTCAGCCAGGGCATTGAAAATGGGTCGTGGATGGGTATTCCAGCATGACAATGACCCAAAACACACGGCCAAGGCAACAAAGGAGTGGCTCAAGAAGAAGCACATTAAGGTCCTGGAGTGGCCTAGCCAGTCTCCAGACATTAATCCCATAGAAAATCTGTGGAGGGAGCTGAAGGTTCGAGTTGCCAAACGTCAGCCTCGAAACCTTAATGACTTGGAGAAGATCTGCAAAGAGGAGTGGGACAAAATCCCTCCTGAGATGTGTGCAAACCTGGTGGCCAACTACAAGAAACGTCTGACCTCTGTGATTGCCAACAAGGGTTTTGCCACCAAGTACTAAGTCATGGTATGCAGAGGGGTCAAATATTATTTCCCTCATTAAAATGCAAATCAATTTATAACATGCGTTTTTCTGGATTTTGTTGTTGTTATTCTGTCTCTCACTGTTCAAATAAACCTTCCATTAAAATTATAGACTGATCATTTCTTTGTCAGTGGCCATACGTACAAAATCATCAGGGGTTCAAGTACTTTTTTCCCTCACTGTATATACCTGACCACTAATCTGTACTGCATGCCTCCAGGTATCTCATCTCTTATCGGGTTTATCTCACTTTCATCTCACTAATCATCATATCTTGTCTGCAGCTCTCTTATCTCTATCCATTGTTCATCTCTCCTTCATATCACAAATCATTATCTCTTGTCTGCAGCTCTCTTATCTCAATTATTTATCTTTTTCATGTCAATAATCTTTATCTCTTTCCTACAGCTCTCATGTCTGTATCTTGCTTTGTCTCTTTTCCATCTCACTAATCCATAGCTCTCCATGCCTCTGCGAGCAATATCTCTCGGCGGGCCATAGCTCGGGAGGCCACACCTGAGGCCTTTCAAGGGCCACATGTAGCCCAGGGACCGCCACTTGACGGACCTCGTTCGACTCCAGCACGTATGAATAACAACGACCGTCGGATGGACGGATAAATAGCGATCTCCAAGTTTCCCTCTGTCGACTTGCCCCCTCCATGAATGTGCGAGACGGGGAAGGTGTTCCGCCTCGAAGAATATCTGGCACTGACAGCGGAGCCACAAACGCCGCCAAGGCCGGCGGCACACAGAGTGACACCGCGCCAATTAATTATCTGCAGACGTCGCGGCGTGCCTGCCTCTCGGCACAGGGGCACGGTGCGAAGAGGTGACACGATTACGAGCCGACTCGCAGGGCCATGCAGTTCAACACTGGCACAAGCTTAATTAGTATTAACAAGCTCTGTTCTCTGACACAAATGAATATTCACGAATGTTTCTCCAAAATGTATATTTATCATGGGAAGATAAGAAGGCGTGACAGGTATATAGGCTTTTTTTATATAACAGTTGCTGAGCACAGGCCCAAAGGCCAAAACACCAGATGAACAAAACAGCGCTGATGAAGGTTTGTGAGGTTAGCGATAATACAAGGCGACTAATCAAAACTCTCATTTATGGGACTGGCCAAACATCCCAGTGCGTGGCCTTCGTGGAAAAGTCTTCATTTCGGTGACAATAACAGTAAAACTTCTTGTGACAAAGTGAGGCTTTCCTGGGCAAAGGTCAATGTTATTAATACAACACAAAGAAGAATGATGATGTAGCCGGCAGTTGGGTTAAATATGCATGCGCGTGCCGCACACAAGCTTCCGACAAATTCCACGTAAACCTGCCCGTGGATAAATAAAGATTGTCCCATGCACCACCTGCTGATTCCAAACACCGCCACAAACAACGTCTTTGCCGAGATGAATCAATGTGCTGGGAGACGTATTTAGACGAGAAAATCTGCAGCATGGACAAAGGGAACATTACGTGATGGAGTGGCGAAACCGGTAGGGGGGTGGTGGGTAGGGACTCCGGCTTCTGTACTGAAGGCTGATCATTCCATTGTAAGTGGAGCCTATTTGTTAAGCTTAATATTTAAGAGTTGGAGCATATCACGATTACTGCGGCTAAGAGCCAATGGCTGCCAACGAGAACTGTGGTTGCTGCCTGAGGCTGCGATGGCTCTTTCTATCCATTTTTAATGTTAAACCTTTTTCACTTCCCATTTTACACTCCAGGCACTCTACCCCCCTCCCCATCGTGTAAAGAAAGCCACAACCACAAATTGCAATATGCATGACGGCACGAGAGGGAGAGAGTGCGCGAGTAAAAGTGAGAGCGGGCGGACGAGAGAGTGGAACCACGAGAGAGAGCGGAGGGAGAGTAAAAAAAAGATAAATGTATATGCTAAGGCTGGGAGGGCAGGGCTGATTCATCTTGTAAAATCTTGCGCGAAAACATTTGTCAAATTATTATGTTGGAACGGATCACGAGGGCTCCAGGCACATTATTGGGTTTGATTGCTATCAGCTGTTGGTGCACGACGTCATTTATCTCCACGGATGGACGCCCCCCACCGCCGCCGCCACAACCGCCCCTGCCGCCCCCGTTCGCGGTGACAGATGATCTGCAAGAAAAATGAATCCGGCGGCACGCTCGCATGCGTCGCGCTAAAAAATGTTTCCCGCCGCACTTTGTCTCGTTACGTTCCGCAGACGGAGAAAAAGCATCTTATTCAAAACATCCTTGACGGCGTCGCTCCCTCGCCCGTGACACAGAAGGGAGTCGGGGGGGCGCCCAAAGTATTTGGGTGGTTACGACGGGGGCATCGCGCAGCGGCGCAACCAATATGCGGCGGCGTTGCTCTCGCTCGCGTAAACAAGCGGGCGCACATGCGAGTCCGCTCGTGGCTTTGTAACAAGATTACCCCGTCGGTACGGCTCACGCACGACGCTCGTCACCGCTGTCGGGCACCGCGTCGTGTTTGTACATCGCCGGCATGTCGATCCGTTGCTCCGCTCCGTCAAGTTTATCCTACCGACAAATTGAGCTCCCCAAGGCAGCGGTGCTCAAAATGCATTTCTTCCTTGTTATTAATAAACACAAGCCCACGCAAAACAAGTTAATTAAGCGGCTCATATTTATTTATTTTCTGCTTCCAGCTTGTACTGCTGAGTCATTTAGTTTCCGTTGTCCCATGATTGATGGCGACATGTATCTCTGCAACGGCACGCGGTTAAGTTGTGCATTTTGCCAGGCATTCCATGCGTGCATTGCTACGGAGCCGAGCCATGTATGTACAAGCGAACGCAAATGCACCCAATGTTCCGCTTGGTGAAGGCACAAAAAAATAAATGCATGGGTGCGTTGTCGAGACGAGACGTCGCGCGAACATGCTGCAACACGCTCGTTGGCATGACAAGCTTTGGCACGTAAGCATGCACACGCTCCTGCGTGCCGAAAAAACTTTGGTTGGAAATTCGTGTTCTTGACCATCACCTCTGCCGAAATTGATGGGCCCTCCTTAACACGAGTGTGCGTGCGTGCAGGCACGCACGCAACCATGTCTATACGCGCGTGCTCGAGTACGCGCGCGTACGTGCGTACGAGCCCGCACGCCCGCCACTGCTCCCAATTTCATGGTGCATTTACCTGCAGCACGGCCTGGATTTTGGCCCAGACGTCGGCCATGTCGTAGAGCTTCACGTCGCCGGCACGCCCGGCCCCGCCCGGCCCTACCGCCTGCTTGAGATGCGCGAGCACCACACTGTGTGCATCGGCCACGCAGCGGAATTTGTCAAACAGCAGCTCCATCAGCTCCAACAGCAGCCTGCAGGAAGGAGTAGGAGCGACGTTATTGACCAGACATCCCTTCCATGGAACGAGCGGTTTTACACTGGGGCTATTTGGCAGGCCGAGCCAGAACTAAACCACAAGATGCCTGAATGTGGCTCGGAGGCCAAGCAGGGCCAAGGGCAGGGGGTCGTCAAGCACAGCGCCACCGCGTTATCTGAATGCGTCGCGACTTGTTCATGGCACAAGTTCTGGAGTGAAACAAGAAGCATGTGCCTTCTGAGCCTTTTCAGGAGGTAAAATGCAACATGATGTTGAATCCATGAGTAACTTCGATAAAGGGAAAAGTAATTTCAAGCCCAAATGAGCACATCCCCTATTTAAAGCCATGAGTGGTGTAAATTCCACAATACATTGGTAGGGGTGAGTCTACCCATAAAACAAACACTGTTGACTTCCCTCCAAGGATATACTATTTTTAGTAACAATGGAGGGATGATGGGCTGAGTCAACCCCCAACCAGGATTTGAACTCGCAACCGTCCGATTACGAGCTGCTGGCTCTTCCGCTGAGCCACGGTGCCGAAGGCTCCCATTTTCACTGCAATACTGCTTTGAAACACTGTACAAAAACTTACAATAAAAAGGACAACAGCTATTCTGATTAGCTTTATTGACCGCGTGGCAATTCTGTGCGGCAAAATTGCCACGCGTAATATTAAGCATTAAGTTTAAACATTCAACGCGACGCGAGAATCTTTTTTTTAACGCATTGAATGCCTGACGTAACTGTAGCGCTGCCTGCGATACACGCGTGTGTGTGTGTGAACCCAGTGGGAATCATCGGTGAGGTACAGCTGTGCACCAACAACACAAACAACCGGCGCGCAATGTCCAGGGCTTAACTTCCCACTGCATATTTTCCGAGTCGCTGACAGAAGACTGGAGCAGCTGGCACGTGACTATAATCCACAGCCCATAGCTAGAGTTATACTGGATGTTATGTGCTGGGTGAAAAAATGTTTTCCCTGGTCAAGGGACACGACAGTGACGTTACGAGTGTGCAATTGTCACAGGGGTTGGGACGTGTATGTACGAGTGTGTTTAGTCTGCGCGGCCTCACCCGGGCTGTGCGTCGCGCGGGGCGGCGCTCTCTCCGCGCTGGTAGGCCGAGTCGGCCACCTGCGTGGTGGAGCGGCGCACGATGGCCTGCAGCTCGCGCTCAAAGCGCTCCTTTATGGCCTTGATGGCGTCGGGGATTTTTCCGAGCTTGGCCAGGGCCGCCACCAACACCGCCATGAAGCGGGCGCTGTCCTCCTCGGGGTCACGCTCCTCTGGGTTTTCCGTCACCATCTCCACGCCCACCTCCTTGCCTGCCGCCGCCACCAGATGTTAGGGTAAATTCGAAAATTAAGGCATTTACATTTATTCCAATGCCAAACTCTCGTGTTTATGTTTCTGTAGCTTAGGTGACCCACCCCCGCCCTCCCCCCCAATGCCAGATGTCTCTGTGCCGTACAAGGTGATGCAACATGGGCATCAGTTGGGGGGCAATATTGCTATTGGTTATTCCAATTAACTAATTTTAAAGAGCAATTTCGAATTCGGACCTTATTTTGTTTTGGACCGGAGGTGGGATGATTTGAGAAACTTTCCCATTGTTTCCGCTACCGTACCGGGAGATTGAACCGAACCAGTGACCTCTGGAGTACAAATCCAAGGTTGTTCAGATGTCAGAAGGCCGAGCTGACACTGCAGAGATCGTGACTAAACTGGGTCCTAAAACAGTGAGTTGACGACTTCACCAAGAGAAAACAATTACATCACGTGGTTAAATTCCAGACCTGATAATTTTAAAACATCAGTTTGACCGTCATGCGATGAATATTACTATGCCCAATACTATGTAGGCCAGAGGTGGGCCGTTTTCTAACACAAAGGGTTTACGCACTGCTCTGCGAGAGATACAATTGGATTCTTCGTCTCTTGATAACATGACGCCGATAGCACGATTGGGATGAATAAATAAAATAACATAAAATGTTGGACTGCATCTGCCAAACCCTGGTTGAGTAGTAAATATTACCCCAGTGAAAACATTACCACCAATGTATAAAGAATGCCAGATATACTAACATTGCAGGAGCATCTAAATGACCGCAGTTCTCACCACCAACGGCTCTGGCCCAAGCGGGGGGAGCGCCTGATCGAGGATTTACGGCGAACCAGCCCGTATGCATGCAACGCATTTCTAATTATGCTCGTTTACATGTAACATTTAATGGTCTTTGTCTGTTCAAATACGTGTAATAATGAGTGACGCATCTTCACCGACATGTACTTCATTAATAAGTAAAAATCAACACGCATGATTCCTCTTCAATCCTGATTCAAAGAATTGTTTTTTGTTTTTTTAAACTGATCGCTGCACAGCTTACGTTGGGATTCACGCCGACTTTGTTAGAAACACGAAAATGTGACCCGAAAAATGCCAGGACTGTTTACACTCTTTGCTCCGACTGTTTGTCATAGAACACCAAGCGACGCGGCATGCGTGCTACTACGCACCCACAGCACAGCGGCAGAAACAGCAAGCGCAGCAGCCACAACCCAGTGATTTCTGAGCATAGTATTATTGTACACACACATAGGCCTTTTTAAGGGACCCACATTACTTTTCGCAAGTACACATACACACTTAACAACTGTTATTTGTGTGTAATATGTGCAGCCTGCACTGTGTAAATGTCCCGGCCAATAACAAAGCTGCGTGCACAGCTGTTGGCTCAGTACTGTGCATGCACTTGGCTTTAAATGTAAATGTTGGTTTTGTGCGCCGGGGAAACTGCCAACACATCACGCTAATGCCTTCCCGTTCCCTCGCCCAAAGAAAAAACCCCGCTGCTATTTGGCCGTGTGGGTTTAGCCGGCTCAAACCCGTCGCTTCCGACGCCCTGGAAAATCCGCCGTGCGGCGGCGTGTGAAACGGCACGCGAAAACTCATAACAATAACGAGCGGCGAGCTGCCCGCGCTGCCTGGGAGGGACGGGGGTGGGTGGTGCGGTGGAGAGGCATAAACCCGTCATCCTGCAAAATACACACCGCCGACCGCGGCGACGTTTTTGTAATGTGGTCTCAATTTAGCCGTGACCGAACGCTGCAAATCATGCTGGCATTTACTTCCAGACGGCAGGTGAAATATCTCGCCGCGTCCTCGTTCGTTCTGTGCCGCCCCGGCCGCGTGACGGGACTCTGTAATGCCGGGGGCCTGGCGACCGTTTAAGTGTGCCATCAGCTTGTGGGCCCGTCTCCCCGGAGCCCAAAAATTTGCAGCTATTTGGCCCCCGCCTGACCCTCAACCGGAGCCGCAGATTTCTTATAGCGTGTTTATCTACGTGGCACGCGCATTTATGCCTTTGACAAGCGTTTGCGCGTTCTACCGTTGATATTGACTGGTTGCCACGTGTGCGCATCAGCTAGAGAGGTTATTATTTTACTCAAATCAAATGTGCACGGTTTCTGATGTGGCAACAATAAAAACACAGCGCAGTGCTCGGTGTATATCTCATGTATACACATACAGTGGATATATACAGAGCACTGTTTCAAGAACCTGGCGACTTGAGTTTGATTCCTAGCCAAGGCTATCGTCAGTGGCGAGTGATACCTCAACCGGTGCCGGGTACACCCTTCACCAACCGGCACTGACCAGCATGGTGAAGTATGGTAAAAATAAACCCCCTACCACCCCCGCAGTGTGGGGGAGCCCTTCAATCAGCAGTGCATTGGCGAAGGTCTGTAAATCAATATGTTTATTTATTTCACATCATACACTGCAGATATATTCACTCGTAAACTCAATATATTTACCTGTACACTTTGGGTGCGATAATTCACCACCCCCACCCACCATTACTTGCAGGCTCGCAATTCTATTCAAGAATCAATTAGATTTGTTTTATATTTACAATGAAGTGTAGCACCTCCAACCCATTACATAGACTATACAAATCTAAACAAAGCCATTATTACACACGCGATTCAATGCACACGTTGCAAACTTAAAAATCAATATGAATCAAAGAATGCCAGGTCCATCATTAAAGCCAGGAATGAAAACCCACTGAGACAACACATGGGTATTTAACCGGGGAGACCTGGGTCATACAGGCCCGGAACGAAGAGGGTTAAAATACAAAGGACGATTTACTGCACGCACATGAGTGCACCGATGTTACAACCCCTCCACTGAAGTGAAAACAAAGTCGAAGTAATTTCCTGTACAAAATGAGTATTGAGGCAGTGCTCATCTGTTTACAGCCCTGAGCCGCTGACAGAAATTCCACAAAGCTCGGGCAAGGATGGGTCTATCTAGAGGACAACCACAAAGTAAGGAGAAAAAAGAGTTAACACATTCAACAAGCATTTCATCAACCTCGGAGGATTGATGATGGACCGCATCAACCCCCGACCAGGATTTGAACTCGCAACCTTTCCATTGCAAGGCGCTCACTCTGCCACTGAGCCACGTGGCCAGACGCTCCCCCGAACGAAGACCGACGCTAAATTCGCCGCGCGCCCTCAGGCGCACCTCCGCGCCGTACAGTGCACACGAGCGCACGCGCGCGCGCATAAATATCAACGCGCACACTTCACGCGCGGGACTAATGGCGGGAGCCTTCGCGCCCCCAGCAGCGGAGAGAGAGAGAGCGGAGCGACTCGGAACCTGCACCGTGCTGTCCTGGCAGCACGGGAGCTCTGCGGGAGCGGGGGGCCGGTGGGAGGGGGTTAAATTTATGGATGCCGAAGCAGTCCATTACGGTGCGGCGGGCGAAATGCGGCTAAATGGGTTTTTAAATGCAAGGCGAGCTAATCATTTTTCACGGGGTAATGGAGGGAGCGCTGTAAGCTCTTGGCAAGAGCCCGCTGGGGAGCCGCCGAGCCGCACACACTCACGAGTTCGCTCTGCACAGCCAGCGAAAATAAAAGGGGGCCACTTATTTTGACGGCTGTTATGATTAGTTGGATTGTTAGCGTGTAGGATCGCAATTATTATCATTACTATTATTAGCGTAATGATGACGATGCTAATGATGACTCGTGAGTGATTGTAATAACGATGATGTGTGATTATAATATTTGCTCTGCAAAGACGATGATTATTGTTATTATGGATGTAAGTGTGATTTGATTTTTTTAACGAGCATGCTTGTTGACTTCCAAAAATCCACCGTATGTAATGATACGCGTAATTCATTTTTCCAAGTTACGGTTTTGAATTCCGATTGTGTTTTTAGTTTGTATTTTCCCTTCTATCCTCACCAGATGATTTATTTACCATGTGCCCTGCTGCTGTGTGTGTATGTATCTGCATGCATGTGCAGTGCTTAAGTTCACTGTGCCAAGATACCTGTAACCTGGGGTTGACAGCATAAATAACACCAATGGCACACGATATCAAAACCTGTCCTGGACTCCCACTTAGACGAGTACCTGGAGCAGTGGATAAGCATCAGCTCTGGGGAGACAAAGGCTGCCGTGTGTGATACTCGCTACAAAACCTCCACGTGCACCATGTGGGCCTTAACAGCTGCTCACTAATACTTACCCCTACAGTCTGTGTGGACTATATGGGGTGACTTTGTCTTTGTGTGTACATGTGTCTGTTAACACGTAACACCCGCTGGGCCTGTCCCGTGACCTCCTGCCAGCAAGACTGCAACACCTACATGCAGTGGACCTAGCCTGGCACAAGCAGGGTAATGACGTCACTTACATTTACTCTTACACCCTGTAAGGCCGAGTGGTGCATCTTTGTTCGTGTTAATACACATGCTCACCCTAACATTGCCAGCGAGCACTGCTGGGCCCATCTGTCTCCTCGGGGCGGCCAGCAGAAGATGCGGGCACTGCGTACGAGGCCGGCTGATGCCATCGCTCTCAACCGCGCACCGGTGGGGCCCCGGCAGGGTGCGCGGATGTAACAGGGGATGGGGGGGGGGGGTTAGATCGCCACGCCTGGCCCCCTACCGTGCGAAGAGGCAGAGTCTGGGGCCTTCCTCGGCGCGGGGGGGCTTGTGACATCTGTGTGCTGGTGGGGCGTCCCGGTCTCCTTGCCCAGAGACCTGAGGGTGGCGGCATTGGCAGAGTCATCAGAGGCAACACCACTCAAGGTGACTTGTGCATCGAGCACAAATTAATACCCGTGCCACAAACTCATCAACGAGCCCCCTGTGTGCTAAATAATACTAATGAAATGTTCATAGAGTACTGTCACCTTTTAAGCAAATGGCACCTCACAATCGCCGACGACCCGCAGACAAACGGGAGGTCAGCCAGGCGGTGAGCTGGTGCTACCAACAATTGCCCAAGTTCCCCAGTCCTCTAAATATTAAGATGTTTCAGCCAATGAATGAGTGTTTTTACATGTGGGAGGAAAACCGGATCGCCATGAGAAAACCCACGCGTGTTAGGGGGCAACACACTACCGTTACAGATGGAACAGATGATAGTCTACACTTTGCTCGACCGCCTTCTCTTAGCGAGCCAGGGCATGGCTCCTCGATGCCCACGGGAAAGGAGTTTCACAAGATTTGTGCCATCCACCAACACTCGCCTCCACAGTGCTGGTTTACAGGTCACGTCTGTGGTCACCGCCGCCCTTGTAGAACAGTGTGCGGCCATGTGCATTGACCGTGTGTGTCACGTGGTGTCATGCGGTGCAAGTCACGTTGTGCGTGTCACGTTACGTGTGTAATTCTATACGCGCCACACGTGCAAACTTTCCAACGACTGTCACCAGATCGGCCTCTGTGGAGGAGTCTCGTGAAGGACGCTGCTGCGTAGTTGGAGACGGAAGAGCAACGCTCACAATGAACGGAGCACGGGAGGTGCATCTGTCAGTTTATCTTGCTCAACCCATAACACCTGAGTCTCTCCCGTGACTTCCTACGAGCAGTAAGCCTTTAACACTTCAAATGATGGCCCAAAAGTGCACCTAGCCTGACACAAGTGCTGCGGTGACGTCACCCCCACGTTGTCGGTGAATGGCGGCTACCGATGTGGTTGTCACGTCACGTGTGTCACATCAGGAGTTTGATTCTTGTTGCGTGACACACCGTTACGGGCGTCAGCTCTTGAGCGCCGCGTTCTACCGCGTCACGCGACACGTCGCAAATCCCACGTGCTACACGTCACGCTCGTTATCCCCCCCGTGTATGTCAGAGCGCGCACGTAAAGTTGCGCCGTACCCGGGGAGGTGCGACGGTGGCGCGTGGTGTGCGGCATGGCCCGTGGAGCGGATGTAGAGGTGGCGGTGGAGCTCGTCGATAAGCATTATGTGTAGCGTCATCTTCTTGGCGTGCAGCTCCAGCCGCAGTTCGCTCAGCCCCTCCACCTGGCGCAGGTGCCCGTCCAGCGCCTCCACGGCCGACACCTGTACGGCCACGCGCGGGCGACCGGGCACGGCTCGAGGTGCATAGTACGTGACGGAGCTGGGATTTATAGGAAATATATACGAGAGGAAAGTGGTTCCCAACCTTTCCGAGCCCCTGGATCACTGTCACCCCTCAGGAAAATCTGTGCACCAATAACATAATTTTGCAAATTGAAACTATCTAAAGGCGCGATAAAAATGTTAATTAAAAAAACATAAAAATGACTGTACTTGCTTTTTATTGACTCGTATAAATGAGATTGCTCATGCAACGGGCAGTAAAAAGATGTAGCGTTTTGCAAAAAAAATTGTGACATCTGCAACCCCTTCCCACGGCCTTGGGGAGCGCCAATAGTAAAGGGACCACAAAGTTGGGGACCGCCACACTAGAATAGTACGGTAGGCTGCACGTGTAGGTTTGCTGGGAAAAACAGAGTTCCTCAATAGTACTTTATGCGGGCTACATAATAAAATTAGCATGCTGGCGGACCACGTGACGTCACAACGTCCCCGCACGTGACAATCAATGTCTACCTCTTGTCTCCAGGTCTCTCATCCATCTCTCGTCTGTCTTCACTTGGAGAGCCATGAATGTTACACGATGGGTAAAACCAGCAAGACAAGCGGTGGCGGTGGGCCGTACACTGTCAGGAAGCGGCGAGCCGGCCGGTTGCCGTGGCAGCCGGCGAGTGCCAGAGCGCTCCTCACCAGCATGTCGGTGGCGCGCAGGTAGTGCTTGCTGCCCATGGCACGGTCGAGCCGCTGCGGGACCTGGCGGATGTCCTCTATCTCGTCGAGGAGGGCGAGCACATGCTTGTGCTCCACGCCCTCCACCCACAGCTTGCGCAGCTCATGCCGCTTGCACTGCAGCAGCGTCTTGCACGACAGCAGGTTCTCTCGCACCTGCCGCCAGCATGGGGTGGGAAATTATGTGGTTGTGGGGGGGGGGGCATGCGACGACGTGGGTCGAACCGGTGACGTCGTCGTTCACCGAGCAGGGGTACTGCAGCCGTTACCATCCGTGATTGATTTTGGGCGAGGCTCGCGTAACATTCTGATGTGTCGACAAAATTGCGGCGAAGGTGGATGAGTGATTTATCGTCGCTTTTTTAATCTCTCTTAAATATTTCATTTCTTGATTAATTTCCTGATGAAATATTTACGAAAGAACAGTAATTAAAGTTCACCATGCTCATTAAAGTAAAAAAGCAAGCTATTACGCATTCGATGAGTGTTTTCTACAGCGTTTCCTAGAGTAATTAACGCCATGACGTCATCACTTTCTGACAACATTCGAGTTGTAAGCATGATATATCATAACGTTGCAATGACGAGAAGACGTATGTTGAGTGAACCCGCGTTGAATAACTTTCAAGCCACCTCTATTCGTACTTGAAGCAATTCATAAACAATTTGGAGTTAGGCCATGTAATGATGATCTGAACAAATCTGTCATTGGAAACCCTCCACCACCTGACGAAGTCAACCGTGCCAACCGTATTGGGGTGGAGGATCATAATGACACACGTGGCCTAACACAAAAATCTAACATTGGTCGGGAAACCCTACGTAATAAATTCTTGGAAGTACACTAAAACACGAAAACAACACGACCAAAATGTGAAACACAACTTCTACAAATTGAATGTCCGGTCGCGAACAATTATATTGCGGCAAACCCAAGTTGCACCGCTCGTGCGAAACTGCGAGCGCGCTCGTGTACCTGCCGGATGCGCGAGCGCGAGGCGGCGATGCGCTCGGTGATGGAGTTGTAGGTGCGGATGGCAGTGGTGAGCTCCGTGTAGTGCTGCACAATCTTGTCGTCCAGCTCGTGGTCACAGCGGTCGTATGCCTCTTCCAGCCGCTGCTTCTCTGCCTCCCGGTCGTGAACATCATCGCTGGTCGAGAGGGTCCTGCCCATACCATCGTGACCATCACCATTATCAACATGGTTGTCATCATTTATCAACGCTTTCCAACTATGGGTGAAAGTGTCGATGCATCGGCTCGGTGCGTCTATTTGTCTGTCTATATGCAACATGGGATCAAGATTGTTTTTCAAATAATTATTCAATATTAACTGAACTTTTCGTACAACGTTGCACAGCTTTTAGAAACTTGCATTTTTGAAACTCATATCAATTGATTGTAACGTTGCCCAACACTTGGAGACACAAGCCAGAGCCAAAAGAACGATTTACAAATAGCCAAACGTATTTTGCCTTGAACACAACCCATCAGCTTCTGTACTGCTAATTAAACGCTTTCCAATCAAACACATGTTGGAAAGCATTAAATAGTTAATGCATATGTATTATTGTTCGACCTGGTTTTCATTCTTAAAGTTTTTTTTTAATCATCAAACTTGTTTAACTTGATTGTCGCCATCGGTGTAACACATTTTTTTACAAATGGTGGCTGAGCACAAAAGGCCCAAATCATCAAGTGGCCAGCGATAAAGAGCACCATTTAAGATATAATAGACGACAGTTAATAGGATTCTTGAATTTAAGCAGGGTTACACAAACGTTTTCTTCAGTCGATACGATAATTTAATTTGCATTTGTTATGTGATCTCAGCGTTTCTCTTTCTTGCCTCTCAGCGCAACACCAAACGCGATCCCCTCCACGCTGCTCTGCACAACTGCCCGCTCACGTTCCACGTCGGTGTCCGTGTTTCCAATCCATGTCACGACGGGTAATAAGCACCGACTGAAAACTTTCTACTTGAGCCACAATGATGTGTTGCTTTCATTATCAACTTGCAAAAGCACTCCTACCTGCTCGACTCAACATCATCATTTTGGTTATCCCAGTCACCCTTCGAAGCTGTCCTTAGTTTACTTATTCCAATGCATCCTGTCTCTCCGACAAATGCCTTAATTTTTTCATGGAACTTGTTTTACACGACTTTTGTTTTTCTCATATTAATCTTGAGCCCAACTCTCCAGCTGTCTTTATTAGTAGAGGGTTTTTTTGTGTTAGATCGCCGAAATATATAAATGTGTCGTTAAAACCCGCCACCACCCAACACAGCCAACTAGTAAGGGTTATCACGTAAACAGAACGTGCAAATTCGTCACTAGTACAGCACACCGGTGTGTTGCAGAGCCAAGCCATAACATTTACAATCTGAGTACGATGTTTCGCCAGTAATTACAACTAGCTTCATCAGGCGACAGTCAGATTTGTGGAGAAGTCTAACTGTTTCGTTCCTTATATAGAGTCGTAGATGTGTAGTGACATAGAATGGGTCACTACGGCGCCTCGCGCCAGTTACTGATAAGAGAGGGGAACTGGGAGTGTAGTAGCCCTCTCTGCCAGTAGGGCATGCAATGTCATGGAACGGGTCCCTAGGGGGCGTAGTGCTGGTGGTTGGCAGAGAGGGGGCATCTGAGGACATAGCAACCCCGGTTGGCTGGCAAGGGCACGTGATAGGCCAGGGTAAGGATGTGGGCCAAAGGTGACAGAAGGGACACGTGGGGTATGGCCCAGAACCTTCTGGAGGTTCCTGAAGGGGGCGTGGCTGAGGGCGGAACCAGGCCATGCTGGGGGGCATAAAAGGGAGGTCCCGAGGCTGGGTTGGGGCTGTCTGCTGGAATGGAGTCCTCCGTGCTACGTCTTCCCCTGGGTCTTCAGTCTTCGTGCTCGGCATCGTGGGTCAGGCAATGTGCCGACTGTCCTGACCCGGTTTATGTCGTTATCCCGTTGTGGTCCATAGAATAAACGTGTTGCCTCCTGATTTTGTGTGTCTTTCAGTGAACCCACTACAGATGTGTCAGACAGATTTGTGGAGAAATCTGTTTCGTTCCTTATATAGAGGCGTAGATGCGGTGACCACGCTTCTGCGCTCTTGCGCTACGTGAGGGGGGGTTACTGAGGCAACGTACATTATGCATTACGTGAGGCCTTTGAACTTGACCTTCCTGTCTATTGTATGTATTCAAATAGCCGTATCAACGGTAATCCCTATTGAAGTATGCTTCCCTTTGTAGGCATGCATTTAAATCATTTATTATTTGATGATTCGCTCGTTTGCAGCACTTCGGTTACAATGATGCACAAATCAACAGGATATTGAATGCCAAAACCAAATGAAATAACACGGGAATTGAAACTGCCCAAGTAATTAAAATGATCAAAATACCATACATTGCGGAAGTAACTGATAAACTAGCCAGATGTTTGGCACGGTACATAAAAAAGATAAATTAATATCTGGTACAAATTATGTATTACCGATGCTATCAACAGAAGGTGTGTACAGGATTAACTGCACGTGTGGTAAATGTTATGTTGGGCAAACAGGACGAATGATCAGCAAGAGACTAAAAGAACATCAGAAATATTAAATTCTCCCAAATACAACTGTCAGCAGTAGCAGAACATGCGTGCCAACAAGGACACTCAATTGATTTTGATGTTGAAATTCTGTGAAAAATTAGCTACTACTGGCCAAGACTAATTAGATAATCTATCGAAATTGAAAGAAATAAAAATAATCTTCTTGGTTCTTTCGGTAAAGTCACGTAGAAGGGAAATAATAAAATAATAAAAATAAAACATTAAATAAAATTCTCACGACGTTTCGGCCACAACACAAGAAGCCGTCCTCAGGTGAAGAAACAGAGCTGTCGGAATGACATTGGAGCGCTGTGATAATTTGATTGTTTTATTTTTATTATTTTATTATTTCCCTTCTACGTGACTTTACCGAAATAACCAAGAAGATGAATCCCTGCAGTCACAAAAGCTTTAAAACGAAAAATTAAAATAACTTTAACCGTTCGAATAGCTACCACCATAGTGCTGCGTGGAAGCGAATAATCAAATAATACATTGTTTAAATGCATGCCTACAAAGGGCAGCATACTTCAATAGGGATTACCGTTGGTACGGCTATTTGAATACATACAATATACAGGAAGGTCAAGTTCAAAGGCCTCACGTAATGCATAATGTACGTTGCCTCAGTAATCCCCCCCCCCCCTCCGTGGCGCCAGAGCGCAGAAGCATGGTCACCATATCTACGCCTCTATATAAGGAATGAAACAATTAGACTTATCCACAAATCTGGCTGTCGCCTGATGCAGCTAGTTGTAATTATTGGCAAAACATCGTACTCAGATTGTAAATGTTGTGGCTTGGCTCTCCAACACACAGGTAATGCTGTACTAGTGACGAATTGGCACGTTCTGTTTACGTGACAACCCTTACTAATTGGCTGTGTCGGATGGTGGCGGCTTTTAATGACACATTGATATATTTACGTGATCTAATCCAAAAAAACCCTCTATTATGGATATTAGTCGCAAAAAACTGTTAAAATGTCTTTATTAGGTTCTTCAATCATTCCCTAAAATCCCCTTGCCAAGCTCATCTTGTGATTTGTATTTTGTTACTTTTTAAATGTAATCTCTGTGCTGCTGTTACATCCTTATGAATAGTTTTCATCATTCTGATTGTTTTATTTTATTTATACAGTGAGGGAAAAAAGTATTTGATCCCCTGCTGATTTTGTACGTTTGCCCACTGACAAAGAAATGATCAGTCTATAATTTTAATGGTAGGTTTATTTGAACAGTGAGAGACAGAATAATAACAAAAACATCCAGAAAAACACATGACAAAAATGTTATAAATTGATTTGCATTTTAATGAGGGAAATAAATATTTGACCCCCTCTCATTCAGAAAGATTTATGGCTCCCAGGTGTCTTGTATACAGGTAACGAGCTGAGATTAGGAGCACACTCTTAAAGGCAGTGCTCCTAATCTCAGCTTGTTACCTGTAAAAGACACCTGTCAACAGAAGCAATCAATCAATCAGATTCCAAACTCTCCACCACGGCCAAGATCAAAGAGCTCTCCAAGGATGTCAGGGACAAGATTGTAGACCTACACAAGGCTGGAATTGGCTACAAGACCATTGCCAAGCAGCTTGGTGAGAAGGTGACAACAGATGGTGCGATTATTCGCAAATGGAAGAAACACAACTGTCAATCTCCCTCAGCCTGGGGAACCATGCAAGATCTCACCTCGTGGAGTTGCAATGATCATGAGAACGGTGAAGAATCAGCCCAGAACTACACGGGAGGATCTTGTCAATGATCTCAAGGCAGCTGGGACCAGTCACCAAGAAAACAATTGGTAACACACTACGCCGTGAAGGACTGAAATCCTGCAGCACCCGCAAGGTCCCCCTGCTCAAGAAAGCACATATAAATGCCAGTCTCAAGTTTGCCAATGAACATCTGAATGAATCAGAGGACAACTGGGTGAAAGTGTTGTGGTCAGATGAGACCAAAATGGAGCTCTTTGGCATCAACTCAACTCGCCGTGTTTGGAGGAGGAGGAATGCTGCCTATGACCCCAAGAACACCATCCCCACCGTCAAACATGGAGGTGGAAACATTATGCTTTGGGGGTGTTTTTCTGCTAAGGGGACAGGACAACTTCACCGCATCAAAGGGACGATGGACGGGGCCGTGTACCGTCAAATCTTTGGTGAGAACCTCCTTCCCTCAACCACGGCATTGAAAATGGGTCGTGGATGGGTATTCCAGCATGACAATGACCCAAAACACACGGCCAAGGCAACAAAGGAGTGGCTCAAGAAGAAGCACATTAAGATCCTGGAGTGGCCTAGCCAGTCTCCAGACATTAATCCCATAGAAAATCTGTGGAGGGAGCTGAAGGTTCGAGTTGCCAAACGTCAGCCTTGAAACCTTAATGACTTGGAGAAGATCTGCAAAGAGGAGTGGGACAAAATCCCTCCTGAGATGTGTGCAAACCTGGTGGTCAACTACAAGAAACGTCTGACCTCTGTGATTGCCAACAAGGGTTTTGCGACCAAGTACTAAGTCATGTTTTGCAGAGGGGTCAAATACGTATTTCCCTCATTAAAATGCAAATCAATTAATAACATTTTTGACATACGTTTTTCTGGATATTGTTGTTATTTTGTCTCTCACTGTTCAAATAAACCTACCATTAAAATTATAGACTGATCATTTCTTTGTCAGTGGGCAAACGTACAAAATCAGCAGGGGATCAAATACTTTTTTTCCCTCACTGTACATAGGTTTGAGAGTGCTTCGATAGCTGCATCATTTCCACCACTTCAAATGCATTTTCGGAGTCTGCAAATGCTAAACATAACGTTATTAGATCTGATTGATTGCATGTATGTGATGGATGATAAAAAAAAAACCTTTCCTAAACCCAGCATGTTTATTTGATTGATGGCCCTCTAGATTGTAAATTGTTCAGTTTTAAATTACCTTCATGCATTTGATATATGCATGATAGGAGGCTAAAGGGATATGTCAGTCTTAAAGTCAGTTGTCTCCTTTTGATTTAGAAAGAACGAGGCATGATTCCATGATTGAGGCATTTCAATGCTACATAAACATTTAATAAACATCTGCTGATTCCTGTACACTGATTTGGGATATAGTTGGGGCATGTAAATGAGAGATGGCAAGTTAATCAGAGCTCTATACATCACATGAGTATGTTTGGCAATAATCATCATGCTGTAAGAATTTAATGTGTATTTGAAAAAAAAAATGGAAAACTTAGAAAGATGTGCCATGGTTGGTCACAAGAAATGGAGTTGAGGAAATACAGTTATATGCTATTGGCCACACGCCATACATTTATCCGTTCTGCTAGAAGAAGGGGCCTCCACTCGAATGAGCTCTATAGAGCCCCTCTATATATGGATATGGCCTACTCTTCCATGCTGGCTAGATGTCTTGGAAGATGCTGGAGTATCCACACTTTACTCCACCCAATGTGAATGCGGCATGCCGATTGACTAGCTGTGGTTGAACCTTTTTACACTGTTGGGTGGACAGAGGCGGTGGGGGCAGGGGATTAAGAAAATTGCCCCCATTGTTTCAACTTCCGCGCTGGAAGATCAAGCCGGCGACCTCTGGATTACACATCCAGTGCGCTGACCATTACACTGTGGCAACATCCATTTATTTAATGGATGCATTTAAAATGTGGCGAATAAGGATTTTTTGTGATTTGTGTAATGGGAGTGTTATATCCTGCTTGTAATTGGAAGCCGGCACGCTAGGATGTTGTAGTGCCAGGTCAAATGATTATCGTATCCCTGCATAAACAAATGCAGGCGAGGCAGACAATGTGTGTCAGATGACCGCAGGTGTGGCACGTGACTGATGACTCATTAACAAGAAGCCGTGTTTCCTTATAGCACCCTTCGTCGGGACAAAAACATGGCAGCCTTCAGATTTCAACAACAAACAAATGTGTGCTCACAAAAGGAGCAGCTTCCATCATGCCTTGCATGTGTAGGGTAGTGGGTGACGTCACGTCACGCTCGCCCTCGGAGTGGCGTCGCAGAACGTGACGTCAGGCGGACCCTGGGGGGACGGTGACGTCATGCTCCAGGGGGGGTATTTAAAGGGGGACCCGGGATGTAACGGGGGGTCGTCAGGGGTAGGAGTGGGGACTAAGGGGAGCTGATTCTCACCCGAGGCTAAGGGAGGCTACTCCGCCCGACCGGCCGAGGTTGGGGTAGTCCCGGCCCGGGGCAGGGAGGAGAACCGAGTTAGCCGGGGTTGTAGGGATCCTTGTACCCCTGTCCCCTGGGGAGTTATCGGCTAGGGGGGTGGGTTGGCGTAAGCCCCTAACACACTTTGGCGTAAGCCCCTAACACACTTTGGCATAAGCCCTTAATAAACGTGGCGTGAGCTCCTAACCGCAATCTGCTTCGGAGTTGTGGATTACGCCGCAACACATGTATGTCATGTGATGACTACACTGCATGCATGTATAATACTCTCAGCATTGCCTAAGCCGAGGCTCATCTTGAGTGGGTGGCCTAAACGACAACACAGCCAAACTTTTACTCTGGTGGTTTAGACAAGGCTGAGAGGATTGTAGATGCGATGTGGTAATCATAAAATATTCAGGCCAGGCATGATGCCTTTTTGCTGTACACCTCTGCGTGGTATTAACGTGTTTGAATCCAGCCTGCACGCATTCTACTGTTGCTGCTGTGGGTTTTTATAATTTATTACAGAAACCGTTGCATTTGAGTAGCAGCCTTCTCTGGCTGCTGGCTCATAGAAAGTGCTCACAACTAGGTTACACTAGAAGCAACAACAATGACGACAATCAACATCATATATTCAACAATGATAACAACAAGAGAGCTGAACTTGATACCGAGAAGCAACGTGCCGTTGTTTTTCGCAGACAAGTTTTAAATCGGCACACACCGCCAAAATATGGCACACGAATGAAAAACATGGGACACCGACCTAGAGATAGGACAATCTGAAAAGTGTGCAACGAAGCGTGGCGAGACGCATCCTCGGAATTACACCGAGACAGAAAGAGCAAGCGGCAGCACATGGACCAGCGAATAAATCCCCTTCAGAGACATCCTATTAACAGTTAAGAATAGCTAAGAATAGTAATTGTGGGCTTGTGCAGGGCACCGTTGCTGGATGGGACGTTGACAGAGACGTCGAGTGACTGAAGAGGAGTCCAAGGAGGGACTACCACGGGATGCGGTGGCCTTCATCCAGCAGTGGATGGAAAATAACTGATGGATGACATTGCGACTGGAAATTGTTATTGATGGTGATGAGGGAGTCTTCAGCCACCAGTGCAGAGTCAATAACCGTAACGAGGATAACCCATGATTGGATGCTTGAATCATCTGACGATTATAACGATGATTCGATTGAAACTGAATAACAACATACAGTAGAGTTTAATCATAATAAACTGCGGAGCGGTGGCAACACGAGTTAAATTCTGCGGTGATTCTCGGACCCTACCTTCAGTGACCAGAATGGTGAAGTATGGTCAAACCAACATGACCGACGCAATGAAGGGGATGGGCTAGCAGTGGATGGATAAGAGGTCTGCTGGACACGATTAACAGTTTGACGAGTGAACAGAGCCGACTCCGTGACGTCGCCCTCAACACAGACAAGCAGTCCCCGGTTAATGACTTGATGTTTCTCTATTATAAATACAGAATTCCGCATTATTTAAACGACTGACAATACGCGAACTTTGCGCGCACACAGGACACATCGCGTCCATCAGCAGCAGCCAGGGTTCATCCACTGCTGGATGAAGGCCTTCCGAAAATCGCCGCTCGCGATGCCGCGACGAACCGCGACAGGGTCTCTAGTTCACATGCAGCGCTACAAATCTCGCGAACAATATTCGAATGTGACTTGCAGCGCCCGACATTTGAAGTTTTCACATTTTAATGTTTCACATTTAGCAACAGAGACGGCAGAGATCCAGGCCTCAGGCCTCCAGGCGAGGCGCATCCCACTAGGCCGCACCGCCCCTCACACCGGAGCCACCGCTGATCTCTAGCGAACCCCAATTAACTAAACCAAAACAACAACAATAACAAAACAAGACGACGAAGAAACGACGACAACATTCTTTACCGAATGACAGAGATGAGGAGGCCTGAGGGGTCCTTGGACTTGCTGACGGCGCTGCGGTATCGAACGTCGCTCGCCATTGCGCCCTCTATGCTCAAACCCCGGTGAAAACCTCTTTATTTCTTTAATTTGTCCCCCTAAATCGTCGATAATTTTAACTTAACGGCCGGGGCAGGCTCTCTCCACTGCTGGGCTGCGTGGGTCGTGGCGGCGTTGCCCCACGACGAGAGGCGGACGTCTCTCGCCTCACGGATGAGGCGGTTCACGACGGGGCGGCAGCCCCGGCCGTTTGGAAATTCGCTCAGAAAGTTGCGAGCAAAATCTCAGCGCGAATAATTATTAATTAGAGTTAACGCTTAATAAATTAACGTGCAATTCACGAAGAACTGGAAATATAACAACTTTTACTCAGAGACAGCAACAGAGACAGCAAATACGTGACGAACCGATTTGTGCTTTCGGCGTAGTTAAAAATTTAAACCGAGGTACTGTAAAGCATATTCTTTGGTTATTTCGGTAAAGTCACGTAGATGGAAAATTTTAAATAAAGTTAATGAAAAAACTAAAAAACACGAATGTAGACTGTAACCTGGTTCTAAATCGGAGTATACTGGCAGTCTATAATGTAGACTGTAGCCTGGTTATTAAGTTTGGTGAGTGTACTGGCAGTCTATAATGTAGACTGTAGCCTGGTTATTAAGTATGGTGAGTGTACTGACAGTCTATAATGTAGACTGTAGCCTGGTTATTAAGTTTGGTGAGTGTACTGACAGTCTATAATGTAGACTGTAGCCTGTTTATTAAACTGAGTGTACTGACAGTCTATAATGTAAACTGTAGTAATGGTTAAGTTTGGTGAGTGTACTGACAGTCTATAATGTAGACTAGGAATGGTTATTAAGTATGGTGAGTGTACTGACAGTCTATAATGTAGACTGTAGTAATGGTTATTAAGTATGGTGAGTGTACTGACAGTCTATAATGTAGACTGTAGCCTGGTTATTAAGTTTGGTGAGTGTACTGACAGTCTATAATGTAGACTGTAGCCTGGTTATTAAGCTGGGTGAGTGTACTGACAGTCTATAATGTAGACTGTAGCCTGGTTATTAAGCTGAGTGAGTATACTGACAGTCTATAATGTAGACTGTAGCAATGGTTATTAAGCTGAGTGAGTGTACTGACAGTCTATAATGTAGACTGTAGCCTGGTTATTAAGCTGAATGAGTGTACTGACAGTCTATAATGTAGACTGTAGCCTGGTTATTAATTATGGTGAGTGTACTAACAGTCTATAATGTAGACTGTAGCCTGGTTATTAAGTTTGGTGAGTGTATTGGCAGTCTATAATGTAGACTGTAGCAATCGTTAAATTTTGATTTAAAGCTTTCGTGACTGCAGTAATTCATATTCTTAGCTCTTTCGGTAAAGTCACGTTGAAGGGAAACAATAAAATAATAAAATATATATAAAACAATACAAAAATTCTCACGTTTCGACCATAACACAAACGGTCGTCATCAGGTGTGTCGGTTTGCATTAATTTTTATTGTTTTATATATATATTTTATTATTTTATTGTTTCCCTTCAACGTGACTTTAGCGAAAGAGCTAAGATTATGTAGCTATCGTTATTAAGTTTGGTGAGTGTACTGGCAGTCTGTAATGTAGACTGTAGCAATGGTGATTAAGTTTGGTGAGTGTACTGGCAGTCTATAATGTAGACTGTAGCAATAGTTATTAAGCTGGGTGAGTGTACTGGCAGTCTATAATGTAGACTGTAGCAATGGTTATTAAGTTTGGTGAGTATACTGACAGTCTATAATGTAGACTGTAGCCTGGTTATTAAGCTGAGTGAGTACTGACAGTCTATAATGTAGACTGTAGCCTGGTTATTAAGCTGAGTGAGTACTGACAGTCTATAATGTAGACTGTAGCCTGGTTATTAAGCTGAATGAGTGTACTGGCAGTCTATAATGTAGACTGTAGCAATAGTTATTAAGCTGGGTGTTTTTTTACATTTTTATTCATTTTATTTTTCTATCGACGTGACTTTACCGAAAGACCTAAAGAATATGAATTCCTGCAGCAACGAAAGTTTTAAGTCAATGTAAGTAAAGCACTGGTACATTCATAACTTAGCAATGAAAATACTTAAATGTTTTTTTCCTCTCCCTGCAGCAGCAATACAGGTGTTTTGGGTTCGATCGCGAAAATATAAATGCGTCGTTAAACCCGCCACCACCCGACACAGCCAATTAGTAAGGTTTGTCACGTAAGGGGCCGTCCATAAATGACGTCACGCACCTAGGGGTGGGGGGGGGTCAGACATTTGTGACGATGTGTGGACGAGGGGGGGTTGAGAAATGTGATGTCACATCAAAATGCGCAACTTTAAATAAATATAGACAACACGTTCTACTTAATTAAACACTTTTTAATAAATGCTTTCTCCTACATCAGAGTGCAGTGGCACATTAAATACGCACTACAATGACAATAGTTTAAAGCGATTTGAAGCATGTTTCTTCTTTGGGGAGGGGCGGGGGGCAGAGCTTTGTGACGTCATATTTGAGGGGGGGTCTGACTTTTTGTGACGCCGTGTGACGAGGGGGAGGGGTCAAAAATCGTCCATTTATGGACGGCCCCTAAATAGAACGTGTCAATTCGTCACTAGTACAGCACACCGGTGTGTTGGATAGCAAATCCACAACATTTTCAATCTGAGTACGACGTTTCGCCAGTAATTACAACCAGCTTCATCAGGCGACAGCCAGATTTGCGGAGAAATCCTCCTCCTGTTTCGTTCCTTAAATAGAGGGGTAGATGTGATGACGTCACTTGTGAGCCCTTCACGTGCGAAGGGCCGGGTGGGGGGGGGGTTAATGAATGCATCTAAATTACAATGGGTATCCATTGCCGGTTGGTTTATGAATATGGTAATTAACGCACATTGTGCATGCACATTGCACTTGTACCTCCTGTCGTTTGGGTACAATATAAAATAGCAGTGCCTGTTACTGTCCGCGTACAGGTAATCCCCATTGACGTATGGTGGCCTTTATCGGCATGCATTTAAACAATATATTATTTGATTATTCGCTTCCAAGCAGCGCTAAGTCTGTAGCTCTCCGAACGGTTACAATTATTTTTACTTCTCTCAATTTCGATAGATTATCCAATTAGTCTTGACTAGTAGTAGTGACTTCAACATTATCAAAATCAATTGGCGGGTTTTAACGACACATATTTACGTGATCTAACCCAAAAACCTCTATTATGGATGAGTGCCCTTGTTAGTACGCGTGTTCTGCCACTGCCGACAGTTGTATTTGGGAGTGTTTCATATTCCTTTAGTGTTATTTTAGTCGCGTGCTGATCATTCGTTCTGTTTGCCCAACATAGAATTTGCCACAAATGCAATTAATCCGGTACACACATTCTGTTGATAGCTTCGGTAATACATCTTCAGTACCAGATGTTAGTTTCTGTATTTTATTTGCCGTGCCAAATCTGACAGGGATGTTTTGTTTTTCAAAAAAAATGGCTAGTTTATCAGTTACTTCCATAATGTACAGTATCTGAATAGTTGTATTTACTGTAATTACTTGGTCAATTTCAACGCTCGTGTTATTTGATTTGGTTTTGGCATTCAGTGCCCTGTTCATTTGTGCATCATTGTAACCGTTCAATTGCAGCGCTGCTTTAACATGTTTAATTTTACTTCTCAGACTGTCACAATCTGACACTTCCTTAGTCCGATGTATGAGCGTCTTGATGAGAGAGGATTTCTGTTCGGGGTGATGGTGTGACTCTACATTCAAATAGGGGTCAGTCAGGTCCGGATTAATATTTTGTAGGCCCCTGGTACTGTGAGGCCCCCAGTAATATTTTCAAAAGGAAAACAAAGTTCAAGAAAAATAAAATGTATTTTTGCAAGGCTAACAACAAATAAAATTCAGCATTCACAAATTAAATAACTTTTCACTTCATCTCTGGAGGCCCTCCGGCTGGCAGAGGCCCTTGGGCTGCAGCCCCTAAAGCCCCCATGCCTTAATCCGGCCCTGGGGTCAGTGTGCATTGTCTTTCGGTAAGCGCTGTGTTATTTTGATATTATGGATGCTATTGGTTGCGAAAGCCTACGAGTTGAATCAAGGCAGCAACGTCAAATCACACTATTTTACGACAACAAGGGGGGCCGGGGGGGCCGACGGAGCCGGGGGGGGGCTACGGAGCCGTGGGGGGGGGCTACGGAGCCGTGGGGGGGGCGACGAAGAAGGGGGGGGGACGGCGCGAGCAGAGGGAGCCGACACTGACTTTCTCACACATCATGCACTGACTCACTCACACCATGCACTGACTCACTCACGCATCATGCACTGACTCACTCACACCATGCACTGACTCACTCACGCATCATGCACTGACTCGCTCATCATGCGCTTACTCACTCACACATCATACACTGACTCACTCACACCATGCACTGACTCACTCACGCATCATGCACTGACTCGCTCATCATGCGCTTACTCACTCACACATCATGCACTCGCACAACCACTGACCCATTCACTCATCATACACAGGTTCACTCATCGTGTGCTGGCTCACTCGCACATCATACACTCACTCACACTGCCGCTGACTCGCTCACACATCATACACCGGCTCACTCATCATACGCTGACTAACACATCGTGCGCTGACTCACTCATCATACGCTCACTCACACTGCCGCTGACTCGCTCACACATACACTGACTCACTCATCATGCGCTGACTAACACATCATACACTCACTCACACTGCTGCTGACTCACTCACACATCATACACTCACGCTGCTGCTGACTCACTCACACATCATACACTGGGAGTGTCGTATTGCCAGCTATGGCTGCAGGTTTTGTCGTACGTCTTATGTATATCGTTTATTGTTAAATTTAAAATCACAGTTCCTATGATTGCTGTTGTTACGTTGTTTTTATAGCTTTATTTTGGTGATTCGAAAATATGTGGTTAATTTGAATTGTCTTATGGTTGTTGTTGTTGTTGGCTTGCACCACATTACACACAGCGTTTTAATACGTTTTTTTTTGTCCAGGATGTTTCTGTTACGCGTTGTCGCTTTAAGATGTTCTCTGTTCAAATTTTGTTTGTTGCGGTTGCACCCGACTTAAGAGCCGCATGGCTCACAGGGCTATACCTAATAAATGAATCATTGCAGTCACGAAAGCTTTAAATCGAAATTGAAACAAAGGTTTGCTGCCTAGATTCCTGCCTGCCTGGCTGACAGACGCGCAAGTGTCTGTACGTGATT